GGGGAGAGAAGCCGCCCCCAGGACGAGCTGTGTCGGCCGCACGGCGCCCTTGTTGCCATGGCGCCCTGTGCGGCCACACAGCTCGCACACCCCTAAGGCCGGCCCTGCACAGAGTGCAGGGGCCAAGGGTGTGTAATGCACAGAGTACAGGGCAGGGGAGTGCATAGTGCACAGAGCGCAGGGCTGGGAGTGCATAATGTACAGACTGCAGGAGTCAGCAGTGCACAAGGGGTCAGGAGTGTGTAAAGCACAGACCACAGGGGTCAGGAAGCGTAATACACAAAAAGCAGGGGAGTAACACACAGAGTGCAGGGGTCATTAGTGTATAACACACAGAGTAAAGGGGTCAGTAGTATATAACATACAGAGTGCAGGAGTCTGGAGTGTGTAATGCACAGAGCACAGCAGTCAGGAGTGCATAAAACAGAGTGCAGGGGTCAGAGGTATGTAACACAAAGGTCAGTGCACAGAACAAACAAAAATTACACTCTTCACCAAAGTACAAATCCCACGGAAATGAGTTGGGAGAGATCAGGGAGCAAGGAGAGGGGCTCAGGCTGGGGAGATTTCCCTTTATTCCTTGTCTGATAGCCACAGCAAGAAGTGAGAGGAAATCCCTCCAAAGTGAAGGCAATCCCTGGTGGTCACCAGAACTAGAGTCCCTATCGGAAGATTTGTTTTGCCTTTGTTTTTGTGTGTATGTGCATTGGGGTCCCATTAGAAATGAATGACTGTACATTCCATTGCGCATGCAATAGGCATTCTGGCAACAAACATCAGCCGGCATTATAACTTGCATGCAACAGTGCTAATAGGTCTTTAGGGAAGAGACCTATATGGTTCTACACATCCACACCTGACTTGACCCAAACTCTCTACATGCATTTCTATGCATAATCTACTTATTCACCATCCAGTACCTGCAGCTCTACCTGCAAAACCATACTGCTTTTCCATTCCTCATCCTTATGGTTTTAGAAGTGAACACACTGTCACCAGGGGGTCAGCAGCTGTATCCGGTAAACTTGCTGAAATAAAGCAGCTTATGCAAAGGCTCATATGATCTCTAGACAATTCCTCAAGTCTTCCAGGATATTTAACAAAATGCATTTTATTGAATCTATTAAAAGCACATGGAAATATAAAGACAGATGTGTTTCACTATTCTCCATTAATTGGAATACTTAAAAGACAGGAAAACCATTAACAGTATAAAAGGAGGTTGCACTATTTGCAATGGGTTTGCTATGTCCCTGCAGTAATGCCTTTAAGTTTTAGAACCATAGATTCCTTTATTTGACCTCTGGATCATTTCTCTAGGCAAAGCTGAATAGAACGGAATGTGTAAATCTTCTCATTGTCCAAAATCCACAGAAAACTGGATACTGAAAATATCACATGGTGGTCTCCAGATCTGGTAAAGCAACAGTGTGGCCAAAAGTAACAAGTTTGGATAAATGTACACGTCCTTTATATCCCAGCTATGTGATCGAAGAAAAGAGAAAAACATTCCTGAGGGGAGATACAGTTGGAGTATAACAGTTGTTCCAACATCATGTGAATATTCACTGACCCTCAATAAAACCACTTGGATAATGACATTCCAATTCAGTCCAAGTTAGTTCTAAGATTCATATGTTCCTGTTCTCCCAAATTCATTTTTTAAACAGATGAGTGGAAATGAAAGCTGACATATAGATTACTAAGGTATTGGAATCAATTTGTGAATGGGGGCAGTGTCTGCATGAAAAGATAAAGACACCGGCACTCCAAATTCATGAGCAAACGTCTATTTATTGACGTGCAGCATAGTAAACAGCAGTTTACTGTTTACTATGCTGCACGTCAATAAATAGACGTTTGCTCATGAATTTGGAGTGCCGGTGTCTTTATCTTTACCTGTGATTATAACGGATGCCATTCGTTGACTACCGCAGCACCCGCTTCTCAAAGGGATTTGGCGGTCAGGAGTGCGATGGGACCATGGACTTTCAGTGTCTGCATGAAGGGGCACCATTCACATGTCCTTTGGGTAACATTATTTTTAAAATAGACTAGAAAATGATGTAACAAACGGATGCAATATCAATAATGTGTATTCAGGTGCCTTCTCCGTCAAACCCATTTTTAAGCAAAGGTGCCTACAGATGCTAGATGACTACCAACCATGTATGCGCAAACCTGCAAGTCGGAAGGAAGAGTGAAGTCGGGAGATGGCTTGTCGATGGCAAGGAATATTTATACTGGCTGAATAATTATTTTCTGGGCAGGTTGGCCAAGGGTCATTGGAAAAGGCTTACAGACAATTGAATATTCCCTGATCCTATCGTAAACAACCAGATTGGTTGAACGTCTCTGAATGGAAGTTGAATGATATCCACAGCGCTCAGCAGACCGTTGCTGGATAATCCTCCAAAATCTTCACCACTAATCACCTGAGGCAGGCTGCCATCCAAAAAGACAACTGGGAAGTATCCTCATAGACCATGCAAAACACAAACAGAAGAACAGCGTCCTTTCCTCATGTGATAACGTTTATTTAATGTGAAATTGTGTACAAGATAAAAAACTACTCATGTGCATGATGGAAACAAGCGATATATTGAACCACACATGCAGGGCAGAGCCAAAGGAGCTGACGTGTTTGGGGAATTCCCCCTTCCACGGAGCTAACATGCAAATGCCCCAATGTAAATTTATAGACTAGGTAGCAAACATGTCATCCCTGTTTACTACATGTTTGCTACGTCGTGTATAAATTTAGACTGGGGGCACCTACATGTTTGCTACGTCGTGTATAAATTTAGACTGGGGGCACCTACATGTTAGCTCCGAGGAAAGGGTAATCCCCCGAAACACGTCAGCTCCTTTGGTTACCTACTGTCAGTACATAATGGAATGAGGCCACATTTGGCAGTTTTGAAACGTAATGAGTACTTACCTTTTTATGAATGCTTTACACATACAGTATATTAGTAGGTATTAAGCAATTTACGATATCCAATTGTAAGGTATGGCTTTTATATCAATTGGAAATCAACACATATAGCACAGATACGGTACATCTAACAGGGTTATTCACAAACGGGTGAAGAGTTTGGAGAAGACATGAGAAGTGAACAATCTAGGACAACAGAGCTGAACTGGAAAGTGAGCTGAATTGGAGAATGTTTCCATTTCAGCTATGTTGTCCTAGATCAGGGGTAGCAAACCTCCGGCCCTCCAGCTGTGGTGAAACTACAAATGCATCTCTCTTCAGGAGTCATGTCTGTGGCTGTGAGAATCTTGCAATGCCTCATGGGATTTGTACTTCCACCACAGCTGGAGGGCCGGAGGTTTGCGACCCCTGTCCTAGATTGTTCACTTCTCCTGCCTTCTCCAAACTCTTCACCCTTTTGTGAATAAGCCTGTAAAATAAACCAAGCAATGTCCCTTTTCCAATGACAAAGACTGTCCCAAAAATGAAGAGCGTGTAAACTGAGAATGAAGTGTTTTAGCCATGATTATAAAAAAAATTTTTTTTTGTTTTTACATTTTTGAAAGTTTGCAAAAAAATACAAAACAATGGTGACTATCAGAAGCTGAGATAACAGTACGTTGTGATCCTCTGATAGGTGCTCTGTCCTCTCTGTCTGTGGGTTATGTGAAAGTGAATTGGGAGTTGTCGGGAGAGCTAGCCCTGGCCATCTTCTCGGCTGTCAATGCCGGAGCTCTATTCCTCATGGATTACAGCACCAACATCTGGATGTGCTATGCCGGCTACCTGATATTCAAATCCTCCTACATGCTCCTCATCACTATTTCCACGTGAGTATTCCTGTCTGTCGTACTGATATACACACATTTTTGCTGAGGAATTCATAGATTATTACCCATCTGTTTCCACATGTTGAGAGAGTCCATGAGCGTGGATCATAATGTAATACTTCTTTCCGGTAATGCTAACACATGAAATTGTATTATGTAGCATTGCTTAAAGCTGATCTCCATGCAAACATCTAAATACACAGTACAAATACCTACATGTGTGCTGTTTTATCTGCCAAAGCAATTGTATTCCTGTCTATCCATTCCAGGGGTTTACACATCTCTGCCACACAGCTCAGCCAGGAGTTAGACATGTGCAGCAGCTAAAAATGTGTTTATTTTAGGCTTGCTGTTTGGGGGGTCTTTTACAAACGCTAGCAACGCAGCAGTTGAAAATCAAATCAATAGGAAAAAATTGCAGAAAATTCAAAAATGGCTTGGCCAGCTGATTTGAAAAATGTTAAGGGGGGCTTGGCAGCGAAAGGGTTAAAGGGATATAAACATCCTTTTCTTAATTTGTTTTTATCCATTTAAATGTTAACAGTGCACGCACAGGATTTGGATGCTTTTCGGATGATTTTAGATATGTTATATTTCGGAAATTCGGATCCTCCGATTCAGAACGGAATTGAATCGCACATGCCTACCAGGAGGATGGCACCACTTTCTCACAATTGGCGCAAACTCCATTCAAATGGATTTTAGTCATTACTGTTGTGTAAAAACAAAGTTGATTCTAATGCGGTGCATCCCACTTCCAGGATCATTGTCTATTCTTATAACTTTATACATTCATTAATGCCGGATATACTTCTGACCCGCAGCAACTATGGGAGCTGCAGGTTTCATACTCAGCAGCCACAGTGTCATTTATCGGCCTCCTCTTCACTTGCCCATTCACAGAATACAAGGTGTTCCGAGAATGGACACAAGCAGACGGGGGTGGACAAGGGATGCTACAGCTTCTGTGTATGAAAGTCACAGCAGGACAGAAGTATAGTGAGAACTATACTATTTGGCATGAATTAAAGTGTACATTTACAAGAATGGGCAGTGGGTTTGGGCAGGGGATGCACCTTGTTAGAGGTATTTTACACCATAGTAATGACTTAAAGCTGTTCGCTTGGTGTTCTGCTATAAACAACAACAAAAATGCACTTCTGACACCACTCTGTTAATTGGGGAGTAAAGGAGCAGCAGAAGCAAATTAATGAGGTCATCCTTCTATTCTATCCCTTTATTAGCAGGTTTCTTGAAGCACATCTGCTGGCTTCCAGTCCTTCCAGTGCTGCTCTATAGGTTATGGCAGGAGGGTGATGTCAAGTCAAATTCAGTCATTTTCATTGGTTTGATTTAAAATACATTAAAGGAGAACTATGGGGTCAGGGCTTTTCCCCATAGTTCTCCTTAGGGTAACAGGACACAAACTAGCGTCCTCCCGTCACCCTAGGCTCAGTATACCGCGAGCTACAGCTAGCGGTATACTGAGACGCCACAGCTGAAGTGGATCCCAAAAATTGTGCCAGGATCCGCCCAGCTGTGTGAGTGACAGCTGGCTCTGTCACTCACACAGCTGTACCCGCCCCCTCCCCCGTCCGTTCCGCCAGTCAGCGCTGGAGGATCGGATCGGGGAGAGGGGAATTCAGTCCCTCTCCTGTCACAGCAGAGAGCCCTGACAGGATCGAGAAGTGAGCGAACGCCGGTATGTGTTCGCTCACTTCCCAATCTACTGTCGCAGGCCGGCTAGAACTATGAGGCTGAGTGCAAGTTCTCCTTTAAAGGATTAATTAAGAAATACAGATTCACAGTAGTGTTTACCTTTATGTCTGCCTGGAGACTTAATTCTTACAATAGAAAACAATGCTGGTGTTAAAGGAGACCTGTAGTAATAGAAATACATTGGCTGCCATGGCTGACCTCCTTCTGAGAAGGGTGCGTACCTGACTGTCTCAGGTCTAAATAAATCCTGGTGGTCACAGAATGTAAATTATAAAATATAGCCGGAGTCCAGCGCTGCACTTGTATGGTAACAGATGCAGTTCTGAACATGTAATGATTTTTATTAAAATGAATAAACAACAGTGTCTTCGTCCCCCTCCCTGTGACAGCTACAGACCTGGCACAGATAGCTTGCCGACAGGTAATGCTTTGGATAGAAGACTGTCTGCAATGAAAGTGTACCAAAACCAGCAGAGTCCTCTGACCAAGGGCACCATCTTATGCTGAAGGTGCATTGGGTGTACAACTGTTACAGAATGAAATGGTTATCAGAACATAAAGAGATCATTGACTTTTATTGTATCATGGCCTATGTACTGCGCTGATTGTTCTGCATGTTATATATAACCATATCTATTATAACATCAACTTGTTCACTTGCAGGTTCCAGATTGCTGTAAACCTGACCATGGAACGCTATGCACTCATGTTTGGCATGAATACTTTCGTAGCGCTGGCTCTTCAGACCATCTTGACCATCATTGTAGTGGACAGCAGAGGCTTGGGTCTGGATATTATTACTCAGGTAATGACACTAAATTCAGGGAAATACACATGTATTGCAGGCAAATAAAACACAATAATACAGCTGAGTCTGTCATATAGAAAGTTCCATTCTGAAATGTGGATCCATATTTGAAGCACTCATGTGTCAGTGTCTGGTAGTGCCCAGCAATGTCCCTTTTTCTCCTGACTCTTGATTGGTGGTCTGTGCAATCCACTGGGGTCTCTGTCTATAAAGCAAGATAGCATTTTGCACTGTCTCATTGTCATATTCATAGTAATAACAAACATGGTTGGTGACAACGGGACAGTGTTCATTGGGAAAGGCATCATCACGCATACTTGCCTAGCCTAACATGAACCTTTTGTGTATATTTTTTGTTCAGAGAGTAGCCACTGGGCGGAAAGCATGCAACGCCATTCAGCTTCTCCTCCATCTCACTCCACGACCTACAGTGACCTTTACAGTTTCTAAAGCTGTCCATAAATGTAAGATGGTAGACACCTAATCAGGTGGCTTTAACCTTGCTTGGAGCACAATTTCATGTCTATCAGTCTTCTTTGATGTCACTGCTTAGCCATTGTCAGGCGAACAGTCAGTCAGGTTAGAAAATCTGTTCCAATGAATACTGCGTCCCTGCAAGATAAGAGGCACCAGCACCCTCTGTTTGTACCACTCACCTCCACCTTTTTCTAGATTGACCCAATTGTGCTGGATTGGCAGATAAACATTTGAATCTGTAAGTAGTGCCAATTAAAACTTACTGTCCTGAAGAGGATTAGATTGTGTCTACATAGTCAACCTGAGCAGTTCTGCTTAAAGTGACACTAAACTCAGGAGTTCAATCCTAAAAATGTATTCAAGTATCCCAACTATTAACAAAAATGTCTCTTATTTGTGTATCACTCGGCTGTAGATCCTCCAATCATCTCTGAATTGGTGCAGACACTGTCCTTCCTTCTGGGGGGGGGGGCTACTTTTGTTCCCCATGATTGGAAAGTAGTCACCACTCCAAGATTGCTCCTGTGATGGACTACAATCACAATACAAATTAGTAAACTAAACATGAGGTTGTAGTACATCACAGGAGTGAGCTTGGAGTGGTGACTACTTTAGAACACACACAGGGACCATGGGGAACAAAAGTAGCCCCCTCCAGAAGGAAGGACAGTGTCAGCACCAATTCAGAGATGATTTGAGGATCTACAGCCGAGTGATACACAAATAAGATACATTTTTGTTACTAGTTCAGGTACTTGAATACATTTTTAGGATTTATCTCCTGAGCGAAGCTGTGTAGTGGGAGTTAGCCAGATATGGGACTCTATAGACCAGATCTTCTCCCGTCACTGTAGAAATGTGAATAGAGCATAAGCCTATACAAACTCCACTGAATTCCTTTATATATACATACACTTTCTTTGGAACTACACAGGGTAGGAGAAAAATTATATCCTTAGATGAATTGTATTTTTGATCATTATAGGAATCAGTGGCGGAACTGCCGCCGCACTGGGGCCTGAGCCTACTGGGGGGCCCATCAGTTTTTGGCGGCCGACGGGCCCCCTCATCTCTGCGCCGGGAGTGTCAGGTCTTTGCGACACTCCCGCACAGAGACAAGGGGACCCTTCGGCCGCCGAAAACTGTGGAGGGAGACGAGAATAAAAAAACAAAACCTCGACCGTGAGGACCCAGCAGACAGCCGCGCTGAGATGGACGCACACACACGGGTGGTTTTCTGCAGCCTCCCCCACCAGGAAACAGCCAGAGGAGGTGAAGGTAAGTTAATAAATAAAATCATTATTGTTTGTAGCCCAATTGATGGCATTGCTGTATAAAGTACAGCTGGTATTTGTAGTTCTATATAGCAGGTCCCATTCTGCATTGCGGACTACAAATCTCAGCAGTACTTTATACAGCAATGCCATTTTTGCCAACTTTTTTGTTGTTGTGGTTGCTACAGGGGATATGGGTTGGGGGCGATTTGTGGGGGGGGAAATAATCTTGCACCAGGGCCCTTTGTTCGCTAGGTCCACCACTGATAGGAATTATACTGATGTTGAACTGGAATGTATATTAGATTCAGGCATGTTTAGAATGGTTTCACCAACAATAGATGGCAGGACATACAGTATATAGCGGTTTACACTGAGCTTACCTAGAGATAACATTCTTGCATAATTAAGAGTCTGGTTCACACCTGGGCGTCTTACAGCGCGTTCCTACGCTCTGTAAAACGCTCAACATGTGAAAATCAATCATTGCCTATGGGCATGGTTCCCACCTGTGCGTTTTACAGCACGTAGGAAGGCGCTGCAAAACGCCCTACGCCCAAAGAAGTACAGGAGCTTCTTTGGGGTGTATTTGCCGGGCGTATCCATTGGGATACAGCCAGGTAGCACTCGTAAACGCGCGTTTGTCACGTGGGGTTTTTTTAACCGCAAATTGCGGTAAAAATGCGCGGCGCGAAACGCGCATATTCGATACGCCTAGGTGTGAACCCAGCCTAAGAGTCTGCGTCCTTGCAGGCTTACCCCTGTGATTAGGAAGTCAATAATCTTGGTGTTATCAGGTGCTCCAAGAAGGTTCCAGCAAACTGATCTCCATGACATGCCCAGCTGTGACTGGCTAACAATTCTTTATTATGTTTCACAAGTAAATCTATGTATAGCGGACAAAGGTGATCACCGCAGCTAAGCGGATAGTGTCCTTAGAGAGTTTGGATTTCCACGTGTAGTATGTTCTCCCCATGTTTGTGTGGCTTTCCTACAAGTGCTCTGCTTTCCTTCCACAACCCAAAAACATGCAAGTATGTTACCTGACTTTTACTGAAATTGGCCTTAGCGTGTATGTATCACTATGGTAGGTGCTGCTTGGCCAGGATGTTTTGATGTTGTATTAATCAGTAAAATAAGGAAGTTTGGCTGGAACCATCTAAAGAGGCTCGGCTGGGCTTTGTTCACACCTCATCTTAGGTATTGTACCTCATCTCAGCATTTCTGATCATCCTGCTCTCACAAAATAGCAGGTGCTTAAAAGTCTACCTTACATTAGAATGCTTTTGTATGTAATATGTGCTTTTCTATTCCCAGTTTCGGATCTATGGAAGTTACTTTGCAGTCATTGCAGGAATATTCTTTGTGAGGAGCCTGTATATTATAATAACGCTGCGGTGCAAGGGACCCGAGAACCGCCAGGACACGGGAGCCAAAGTGGAGACCAAGCTGTAGGGGCTGGGTGCCAACAGTGGGAGGCTGGTCAAACCCCCCCCAGAGACAGGACCATTACAAGAGAGGTGTACAACGCCCAAATAAAACAGCTGCAGATTCTACAAACTCCGTGGAGAGTCTAACAGTGACATTTCTGCCACTAAGATGGCGTTTCCAGCTTCTTGGTGCTTTTTTTTTCTCTTTTACATTACAGGGAATGCAGCAAGAAGAATGAAGCAGTTTTGATTATAGCAGGTAAGGCCAAAAGCAGTTACACCAGTGGAACAATCTCACCACTGATATAAAACGCTAGCGGGTGACTCAAACTTCCCGTGTCCAACTATTCCTAATGATGAGGTTTGTGTGGACTGACCCGTTAATGCAGGGGTAGCCAAACTCTGACCCTCCAGCTGTGGTGGAACTACAAATCCCATGAGGCATTACAAGATTCTCACAGACATGACTCCCGGAGAGAAATGCATCATGGGATTTGTAGTTTCACCACAGCTGGAGGGCCAGAGTTTGGCTACCCCTGCATTAATATGTTGTACTCCCAAAAGCTGGGAGCAGCTGAAGGATGCACAAACTTGTCAGATAAGATGACCTCTATAAATGACACTCCAAATGAGGAAAATCCTGAGTTCACGGGCCACCCTGGCAGATTTTGGTCTAATTTGACCTGTAGGATTTTCCAAAAAAATTATCTAGTGCAAGGGTTTGCATGACTGGATACAAAGTAATTGGATAGTTTAGATAAACGCACACTACATGGGTTTGGTAAACCCTAAGGCCTTGTTCACACCAAGCGTGGAGCAGTTGCAGAGCGGATCAAAACTGCGTCCAATGTATTCCAATGGTATTTTTTGCTCCAGTTCACATCGCAGTGTGCAGTTCCAGAGCAGGTAAAAAAACTGCAGCAGGTCCTGTTTTACCTGTTCTGGATCTGCAAACGCATCAAAAACGCATGCAAATGCCTGGAACACACTGAAAGCCCTTTTTAAACTTTAATTTTTTTTTTTACCAAAAACGCATCTAAAAGACCAGCGTGCGTGTGCAGAAACCTGACCGGATCTGCTCTGCATTTGGTGTGAACAAGGCCTAAACCTTGTACAAAACCCCTAACAATGAACTTCTCTTACTTGCTCCATTTTGTCTGAATATACCATTTAAGTATCTTGTTATATCTGTTCCATACGTGCAAAAATAGCTGCTGATGCCAGAAAACTTCTGAGCTGATAACTTCCGTGTTCTCTGCCTGTGCACAAGGGTTATAAAAATGGAGAGGGCTGTGTGTACTTTGTAATGCATCAGAAATTAAGTAGGCAGGGCTGGCACCACATGCTTAGGAATTGTACTCTCATGTCAAAGAGGAAGCTGAGAGTACGCTATATTTCTGACAATCTCCGTTATTTTTCTATACTTTCAGTATGTTTAAAGGAATAAAACGTGGGGAAATGTGCATACATTCTAGAGATGTACTAATAACAGTAAACTCTGTTATCCAGCAGCAACGAGGATCGGTAGGTGGCAGATAACGGTAGTTTCTGCTTCCTTAAGCGTTAATAATAGCCCTGACCCCTCTCCCCCCCATCTAGATTCTGCAGCCGGCAGGTAAATGTAAAGTGCCTGCCCCCTCCCCTGTCCGTTTAGCCAGTCAGCGCTAGAGGATCGGACAGGGAAGGGGGGGATCCCTGCAGGAAACCGCGAGTGACAGTCACGGCTCTCTGCGGCGATAGATCGAGAAGTGAGCGAGCGACTGTATGTGTTCGCTCACTTCCCGATCCACTGAGCCGACCTGTGACAGTTTCATTGTCACAGGTCGGCTCAGATTATGAGTGAAAATCACTCACCTCATATTTCTCCTTTAAGTAGATTGTACATATGTATTCATTGCAGTAGACACTTTACTCAAAGAATATAACCTCTGGATAACAGTGGTGACAAATGTACTGTGAATGTAACTAACCAAAATGTTTGTTTCTTCAGTTTACACTTGTATGCTGCTTTGTGTTGTAGCCAGTGATGGCTCATTATTGGTATAACATGTCTGAATGTTCCGTTTACTACTGTAATATGAAGAAGATGTCAGATAGTATATACATGTTTTTTATTCCTATTAAAGTCTGTACCTATTACATTAGTTGACGGGTCTTTGCTACATAAAGCAACTCCCTTAAACAGAAATGGAACTTTGAAAGCTATGCAGGTAACCTGCAGCTGATCTCTCCGCATTTCTGACTTACCATGACTTGTTCTGCACAGCCCGTCTCTCTGTGTAAAGGTGGCTATCTCGGTACAGACAGGTCTTTGCTAAACTTATGTTAGAGTTTCCAGCAGGAAGAACAGTGAGCACCATAGTAGCAACATCACCAAATCTTACTTCCAATCTCACCAAATCATGTAAGACTAGCGGTCAGAGGCACAGTGCTTTAGATCTCACACTAACAGCTTTAAGTCTGTACGCACAGGATTGCCTAGACACCCTCACATACCAGGAAGTCCACTGCTATTAATGGAGGAATTCAAGATACTACTTTGGCACGCCTAATACTTCTAGATGTTCCCCATAACAAAGCAAATCTTCACGGTTTGAGTTGATCCAGTTTAAGAAATTGTCCTGTGGCCGAGTACAGCAAGAAAAGACACCACAACTACACTTTTTCTATTATTTTAATATTTTTCACCTGCAAACTGTAGCAAAACATTAGCTTTATAATGCAGACATGAGTCTTCAGTATGGAGAATTTAGGCGTATAGAAATGGGGAGCATTGACTGGGCAAAATAAAAGTTTGTGGGCTTTTTGTTCAATTTTAAACGAATAAAATTTATATACTTTTTTTAACATTTATTTTCACATCCCTTCAAGCCAAATTGATAAAATGATTTAAGTTTGCTCTTAGGTAACAAAGCGGCTGTTTAACGCCGCTCGGTTTCTTCACTCCCACATAGCATAAAGTGTTACGAGTTAGAAATACTGATATGAACAATTATCTAGACCCTAAGAAAAAAAAATATATATACAGTACTGCAGCTTAATGAATATGGAATCTGCAATAACTTACCAAATTTAATATACATGATACGCCCTTCAGTTAACCCTTTGGTTGACCATTGAGTTGCCAACAGAGTGCTCTGCAATATTTTGCCAACAAGTCCCTGGGCAGCCAGAGGGCTGAATGAGAAAGAAAAGGCTTTCCAATTGCACATTTTACCTTGTTTTTCTTCCTTTTTTAGTTTAAATAGAAAAAAAATATATAATTGCAGGCTCTGAAGGAACTCCCTGTGTTTAAAGCTTACGCTGGTTAAACAAGACAAACAGTGCAAGAGGCAGTACATGTACGGTGATGCTTGGTAAGCTCCTGTGTTAGTCTAAGGCTATAAGAAAGGATTGGTTGATGAACTTCCTGCTGGAAACTGCCCCATAGGTGCCCCGGCCTGCAGACAAAAAAAATATAGAAGAACCGAGTTATGACATCATTAGAATACAATGGAACTAAAAACCCAATATACGTGAAAATGACAATATTATTACACAGAACTACGCTAAAAGTTAAAGTGAAAACTAAACTCCGGAGTTAAATCTTAAAAATACATTCAAGTATCCTAACTATTAACAAAAATGTATCTTATTTGTGTATCACTCGGCTGTAGATCCTCAAATCATCTCTGAATTGGTACTGTCACTGTCCTTCCTTCTGGAGGGTGACTACTTTTGTTCCCCATGGTGCCTGTGTGTGTTATAAAGTAGCCACCCCTTGAAGTAGGGCTGCAACCAACTAATTGATCCATCGATCGATCATGAACATAGTTGTCAACCATTCTCATTATGGATTAGTTGGTTGGATCCCCTAGCTCTCTCCTCCATTCTGGGAGGAGGGCACAGCAAACAATGAGCAGGTGCAATAGACAGCCTGCTATTGGCTATTGCAGTTTGAAATGGCCAATAGCAGGCTGGCTATTGCACCCGCCCATTACCTGCTGTATTTACATTCAGCTGCCGTCTGTGGAATCTTGCCACTGGCAGCTATCATTCCCTGGCTGAATTCTGCTGTGGGAGGTGCGTTGTTATGGCATTCATTTCAATGGCACCCTAAACGCGCCTCCCACCCACAGTGTGATCGCCCACACTGGAACGCACGGTACCGAAATGCAGTGTGTTCCATGTGATTACAAAAAACTGCATGCAGTTTTATTCTGAAGTAAACTTTATGTTTGTAACACTGCATTTGTGTATTTTATTTTAAATGAAGAATTGTATTTAAAAATTTTTATCCGATCAATCGAAAAAATAAATTGGCCAACTGTAGATAGATCATTATTTGCAGCCCTAGCGCCAAGCTCACTCAGGTGATGAACTACAATCTCACATTTAGTTTGCTCATTTGTATTGAGATTGTAGTCTGTCCATGGGAGTGAGCTTGGAGCGGTGGCTAGTTTCCAACACACACAGAGACCATGGGGAACAGAAGTAGCCACCCTCCAGAAGGAAGGACAGTGTCATCACCAATTCAGAGATGATTTGAGGAGCTACAGCCGAGTGATACACAAAATAACTCCAGTATTGTTAATAGTTAAGATACTTAACTATTTTAAGATTTAACTCTTGAGTTTAGTTTCCCTCTAATTATTGGTAGCACGGGGGGGGGGCTGATAATAGATGTTTGTTGATCCCTCCACCACTCTCCACCCTGACAACTGCCATGGAGGTCTCAGGCACCCTGGGGCACATGGGGAGAGTGGAGTTTATATGTAGAAATTATCACTTTTACTTAGAAGCGAGCAGCCGGGAGTAAATATAAGCTGATATAGTGGCTGGGAGTCTGTTTACATGCCAGAAATGCTGCCTACATAAGAGCTACATTGGGGGAAGCAAAAGGGTTAAGGGTATACTGTGCCAACTTAAAGCACTGCGAGTAGAAGCACCGGAAAATCAAGTATTTGAAGTTATTACTTGTTTTTCCTTTCCACAACTTATTTATTCATTGACTTACAGTGTGTCTCAACTTGCTAGCACATCTGC